TTTAAAAGTTCTGTTTTTGGAGTAAGGTTTTTTAGTTGAATTTCTCTTTCACTTGTATTTAAAATTTTTACCACAATTAAGCCATTTTCTGGTTTTCCTATCGTACCAGCTAAGAAGACTACCTCGCAAACTTCTTGTGGCAAGACAACGCATTCATACATTTCATTTGTTCTTAAATATCTTATAACTTCACATCTAGGGGGTAAAAATATGTAATAATTATATTTTGAATCAAGAGGTAGAGAAAATTTAACATTTTTGTTCCAAAATGAAAAAATATATTTTTCAAAATCGATTACTGCATACATTTTTTTAAAGAAGTCTGCTCCGATTACGCCTTGTATACTAGAATCGAACTCATCGACTATTAAAAATTCATGATTTACAATTATTTCTCCTAATTTAAAATTAATATTTACTGCACCTTTTGAAAAGGCTGAACCTGCAATACCATTTATCCTTATATTTTTCTTAAAATCTATACATTCATTCTGATTTAGAGAGCCAGGAAAAATTACACTAACAGATGCACCTGTGTCTAATAAAAATACTAAATCTTTCATTTCATATCCCACTCGTACAAAATTTAATCCATTAATATTAAAATTTACATGATTACTACTGGGGGGCTCGAAAAAATGGTATTGTCGACTCAGTACTAATTGTGGTCCACGGGAATTGTTTCCGCGACCCGGTGTTGGAACGACCTATGAATATTATTGCTATGATTGTTACCACGACTGTTGCTGTAATTACCTTTATTATAATTATTATTGTTAAAATTATTGCGATGCCCGTTATAAAAGGTTTTAGTTTTATTATAGTTGGAAGTAATGTAGTAGTGGGTGTTCAACGAGTCGTTGACAACGACAAAATAAGCCATTTCCCCATGTTAAATCCCATAGGCATTTCGTTCAGGTGACTAATTACACAATATACAATTTAGCGGGAAATTTTAAATTTAACTACCCTGCTTCAAGCTTTGATAGCCCACCGTTCGAAGACCCCATCGTCCGTTTGTTAAAAAGTTAGAAATTAGTGAAAATACAAATAAATATAAATTTGAACCGCAAACCTCTTGCTTCGCAGACGGATGTGCTACCAGATAGTCCAATTTGATACTTGTAAATAGAGAAAATGCTAAGGTACAGTAGGTATATGCGTATTTGTGAGTAGGCATTTATCATTATTAAATGTCCGATATCATTTTTTAATTATTTTAATTATATAAGTTAGTAAATATACATATGCATATGTACTGACTTAAATAATTAAAAAATGTATCGTTAAATAATGTGTGTTATTTAAAGGGAATTTTTATAATACAGTTTATTAATTAATTTAAAAATATACGACTATTTCTATTATTTTTTATTTCAGTTTTATTAATTCTAATAACTTATTTTAATTTTAGTTATTATATTTTAAATTGTACAAACTATTATTTGAAGGTTAACATATTATATATAAAAACTTTAACAATAAAAAAGAAATGTATTTAATTACACATTGTCGCCAATTGAAAATTAATATTGCTAAATTAAAAGACAATATTAATATTTTTTCTATAACCTTCTTTAGGTTTATTATATTAAATAATTGTGATAATTACTAATTTTTCTTAGTAAACTTATAATCTTACATTCACAAAAATTTTGTAACATTTAATGTAGGTAACTAATAAAAATGTAATAAAACATCTCATTTGGCTACATAATAGTTTACATGAATAAAATAGCTTTAATTTAGGAGAGGTATAATTTAAACAAAAAAATTTAGAATTTGTAGAATTAAAAAAAACACGTAGATGCTTTTTACCAGACGAAAATGCGTATACACTGGAACTCCAAACTGTTCCTAAATGGAATAAACGCATAATTATTTATATAATAAATAGATAAACGCAACACTAAGCTTTTATTTTACAAGTGATGCAAATAAAATAAAAAAATGTGTTGTATTTTTTACTTATATTACTAATTTTTCTTAGTTAACTTATAATCTTACACTCACAAAAATTTTGTAACATTTAATGACACTGATAAAAATGCTGTAATAAAACATCTCAAGGCATTTGGCTACATAATAGTTAGATGACTAAAATAGCTTTAATTATATTTTAGAATATAATTTAAAGAAAAAATTTAGAATTTGTAGAATTTATAAAAAAAAGACGTAGATGCTCTTTACCGGACGAAATTGCATATACACTGGAACTCCAAACTACTCCTAATTACGCATAATTATTCATATAATAAATAGATAAACGCAACACTAAGGCTTTTATTTTACAAGTGATGCAAATAAAATCAAAAAATTAAAAATGAATTGTATTTTTTTTCAAGTATCCAACAAATTTTTTTATGGTATAATATTTGGTATTAAATGTTAGAATATATTATAATACAAACATTCACGTATACGTACAATAAGTTTTAATAATATACACTACTCCAAGAAATTAACGCACCACTTATTATTTTGTAAATAAAATTTTCTATCAAAGTAAATAGTACAATGTTTATATTAATTTTGAAACACCCTCGTATATGACTATTAAAAAGTGTGTAAACGTTTTTATAAGATGTTTAGTTTTTTTGTTATGTCGAATATACCAATTCTGGTAAATTACTACAACAGGTTAAAGTATCGCCGCGCCTCGCAGTTTTGTTAAACTTCATTTATCATCTCTATTTACTTTTTAATTTTCACTTATTGTCAAGATGCAACGGCAATCAAGAAATTTAACTCGCGATGAGTGTGCCCAAGTGGTTGTTTTAGTGCAAGAAGGTTGTAGTTTCCGCAGAATAGCTGAAAGGTTTGGTGTATCCCATACATCGATTTCTCGTATGTATCAATGGTACATGGAGACTGGTGGCCATACTAGGAGACCAGGTCAGGGTAGAAATCGTGCTACGACTCCTGCTCAAGATCGTTTTTTAAGACTTTTAACTTTGAGACAACGGTTTGTGACTACAAGAATGTTGCAGTCTCAGTTGGAAAACGTAGAAGGGGTTCGAATAAGTATTGAAACCATTCGACAACGACTTAGGGAAGATAATTTGCAACCCCGAATTCCTGCACGAGGCCCGCTCTTAACCGTGGATCATCGCAGAGCCCGGCTAAATTTTGCTAGAGAGCACGTCAACTGGGTAACAGCGGATTGAGAACAAGTTCTGTTTACAGATGAGTCTAGATTTTGTCTATACACATGTGATAGACGCGTTAGAGTGTTTCGACGGCCAAATGAAAGATATGTCCAATGTAACTTCCTTAATACGACCTTATTTGGTGGGGGCTCAATTATGGTGTGGGGAGGTATTTCTTTAACAGCACGTACCGACTTAGTGGTGATAAATAATGGCAACCTTAATGCTGAGCGTTACATTTTGAACATTCTGGAAAAACATGTTGTGCCATATGCCCCTTTTATAGGTCCAATTTTTTTACTAATGCAGGATAAAGCACGACCACACACTGCCCAGGTAGTCCGAAATTATCTTCCTGCCGTTGGGATTAATGCTATGGCCTGGCCAGCTCGCAGTCCAGACCTTAACCCTATAGAACACATCTGGGACATTCTTGGGAGACGTTTAAGGGACCATCCAAACCTTTCGAATAACTTAGAGGATGTAGAGCGCCTTCTACTGGACATTTGGGAGAATTTTGACCAAAATGAAATTCGAACCCTAATTTTGAGTATAAACAGAAGATGTGAGGCTGTCATTCGTAGTAGAGGTGGAAATACTCAATATTAAGTACAAATTTTTAATTTTTATAAAAATCGTATTCTGTTAATTTTTAATTTTTTGAAATATTAAAATATCGTATTTTTAAATTTCTGAAAATGTTACTCAAATGTAGTTTGCTGGGTTTGATCTTAGACCCCTGATATAACTTGTCTAATAAATCTGATAGATTCTTATTATTACATTGCATTATAATATAGCGAGTACTCGCGTCGAAATAAATAAATATAAGTGCAAATAAATAGACTCTTGAACATTAGTGATATATAAATAATTAGTAGTTAAGTGTTTAGTTAGTTTTATAGTGTTTTAAGTGTAGTTAAGTTATTAAATAAATAGTTTAGTTCGTTAATTAACCAGTGCGTGTTTTAATTCACACTACGAACAATAAAAACGTTACAATTGGTGTCAGGAGTGCGGTTAGTGCGAAAATGGTTTCGTTAATGGATATCATATATAATGTACTAGAATAAAATCCAAATGAGGTAAATTTTAACATTGATCCTCAAATATTGATTCTTAAATATTGATTAAAACAATAAAATAATTGACTTTTGGCTTTTTGTGTGTTGTAAAAGTCAAAAACTATTTTTTATAAATGCTGTGTAGGGTTTAAAAATAATTTAAATTGTCGACGCTTAGATATTTTTTCAAACACATTTAAAATTGTTGTTTGTTAAAACGCGCTAAATAAGGGGTTGGAAAAAAGCAAAAAACTATTGAAAAAACATTCTGGGCGCGGTTTAAAAATAATTTAAATTGCCGATGCCTGAATATTTTTTCACACACACACATTTAATAAAAGTGTTATTTGTTAATCGATTTATTAGACGCGTTAAATAAGGGGGCCCTCATTTAGGATCATGGTCTGTGTTATTGATACTGGTCATCTCTATTGAGAAACGAATGATCGGGTTCGATTTTATTAAATCAGTTCACTGTTGACAACGGTCTCGGCGTCATATTAAATTTGTGAATGAAAATTAATGCACTTAGTTTAGTTTAGTGCGAGTTGGTGTATAATTTTAGGTAAGTTATATATTTAATTTTTGCAAGGTAACAATATTTTGTAAATTATGTTTTTAGTATAATATAAACTAGTTGATGATAAAAAAATGGAACATTTTCATCATTACAGTGAAAGTGAAGACGAATCCTTTGAAAATAAAGTGTTTCGTATTGTAGAAGCATTTAGAGAAGACGCTTTTAACCATGGAACCGATTTAGTGTTGGAATATAACAAAATTTTAGACGACTGGGGCCTTATTGGATTTAGCGACGACTGTACTGGTGATTTTGCAGCTTGCAACCAAGTACACGAAAAGAGTAGAGCCGGGGAAAATTTCTACCACAATCTTAGTTACATACCTAGATTTGTGAACTACTTATGAATTATTTATTCGAATTTTTTCTGCTATTCCAAATTATGAATTAGAGAAGTATTTTCACGGTCCTTACAGATACGAGGTTGCATATGACCCATTACCTGGCCAGTAGCGAAGACGATTTAGATTCCTATTACAATGACGACACGATCTTTTATGCGAAGAATTGGAAGAAAACTCTATCTACCAACTGTTAAAACTGCATTGGACGGAGGAGACAACAATCCTATTGCTTCATTAAGTTAAATAAAAATGGCGAATGGTATTATTAAAATGTATTTATAAATAAAGGTTTATTAACAATACAAAGTTATGTTTTATTAAATCCACTAGAAACCAATGTAATGGATAAAATTTGAATATGTATAGGTATGTGTTGTTTTATTAGTTATAAAAATTTTAAAATATGTTTTATTAAATCCACTATATAAAGTTAAACAATAGTTTTAAACTTTCATTATTTAATAAACAGGCTTTCATTAGGCTACAGTGTGCCATACGTGAAATACACCTCCTAAATAATAAATTAATGTATGAATTATATTTTGTTTTTAATTATTTTTACTCCAACCTCCTCCAAAAATAAAGATAAGTATATTAAATTACACATAATTAATTCGGTATATCTACAATTTTTCTTTAACATTTACACTCTGTATATGTATATTAATAATAAGTATTACATTCAATTATAGCGGACTAAATGTTAACCTATCTATACTTTATTAGAATGTTGTTTTAAAAAGCAATTATTTTAAAGGATTTTTTCTAATTAAATCCAATCTAGCAGATTTTTTAAGTTTTCGAAATACATTTATTTGACAACACTGCGCGTGGAATTTATACCTACTCAATGAGTTCATTGTATAGAAATATTCATTGTTAGTGTTTATAGTCTTATAACAACATTTAAAGCCGTAGCATAATTTAATCATATTAAAAAATAAATAAAAGAGTGACTTTTTTATTAAGGAACTGAAAAGGTGGTAAGTACCTACATTTAAATAGTTTATTATTTTATTTAATTGGTTGATATTGATTCTATTTTTTTTTTAATTTATAGCATAATATTATTAAAACATTAATAGTCTGTCAGAAACTCGTAAACCAGGACCGTTTGAATGGATAGTATATCCTGTTGGAATTTTTTAACAAAATTACAAACGAAGACTATGATTTAGAGTGGGTTTCTTTTCTCTGAATGACAATACTGAATAGTTTCATTTAAAGGAAATTAATTTTCTGTAGATCTATATCTATATATTACACATAATAATACCGCTACGTTTTCAATAATTTCCAACAAGATTGTGCATCACTGCAGAATATCAAAAATATACAGTAAGTTATTTAAAGGATGCTTTATTAATTATTAATTGAAATATACAGAGTGTTTATGCTATATCAATATATTTAAATTTTATGCTTCTTTGTAAAAAAAACTTTAGGTAGTACATATACTAATATGATATATAATGTATAATACTATTTAATTTTTAGCGGAAACACATTAACTTTTTTATTCAATTAAATAACATATTTTTTTGTTTTTAGAAATGGAACTTAAAACTAAGAAATGGAATTTAAAACCCAAGCTTAAGTAAGCACTAAAATTGCCAACAAGTTAAGAAATGTTTGTGAGATATTGTGTGAAAAATGCAGTGAGGATAAGAAGACTTTGTAACTTGGATACACCGAGAGAAAGGTTGGTTTAATAATAACCAAAATGGTTATTTAGTAATAAAAAAATGATTGATAAACCGACGTAACAAATATTGGTTTTAAATCACTCTATCATTTGTTAAAAAGTTATAAATAGATTATGGTTTAGGAATAACCCTATGTATTTATATTTAACCAATGTTATTTTTGTAGTGAACCAACTATGTTATTATTAAACGTAGGATTACTTTTTAAATAACAAATTTCTTTATTTGCATTTACTCAATCTAAGTATATATTATTTATTAGTATAGGTATTAAAGAACCCCCCTCCCCACGTAAATGGAAAATAAAAGCAGGTAAGTATAATAAAATACATATATTTATAAAAATATAAAAAAATAAATATTTAATTTAATTTTTAATCTATGTCCAATAATTGGACATAACACCTTGAAACTTTCCTCCTCGTGAAGTACCAATTGTTGCAGACTACTTAAGTCCTCAATGCAGTTCTCTATATGATAAAAAAGGAAGAAGTTAAACATTAACTATAGCTATAGCGTGGGTATGCATTTTTATTACTATTTAAAACAGTGTGTTAATAATAAATATACGTACGTTAAAAATAATTACAAGCAATAGCTAAAGACAGGCAATGAAAACAAGATTTGGATTTATTTGATTACTTTAGACACAAAACATCGAGGAAATTAGGCCAAGCCATCATAATGAAATGATAAAGCAGTGGCGGCTGGTGGATTTTGGGTATACCAATATTTCAGTTATTAGACATGGGACCCACACCAAATTTGTAATAGTTTATATATAAACTATTACAAATTTGGTAAAACTAACTTTTTTTCGCAAACTTTAATTTAAATTCTGTTTGCGTCGAACTTGTCTATTTAATGTCATTATAATGACATTAAATAGACAAGTTCGGCGCAAACAGAATTTAAATTGAAGTTTGCGAAAAAAAGTTAGTTTTTCCTGTCGCCTCACCCGCCTCCAGGCCCCCCTATTTAAGTTAATTCAAATTAAAGTGGTGCAATTTATTATCTACTATAATTTATCGACAAACTTAAAATTTTATATTTTTTATTTTTTTTTAAAAATAGGGGGGCTTGGAGGCGGGTGAGGCGACAGGAAAAACTAATTTTTTTTCGCAAACTTCAATTTAAATTCTGTTTGCGCCGAACTTGTCTATTTAATGTCATTATAAACTATTATAAATTTGGTGTGGGTCCCATGTCTAATAACTGAGATATTGGTATACATAAAATCCACCAGCCGCCACTGTGATAAAGTAGCTATAACTTTACTTACCAACAAAAACCGGGAATAGGGAGGGCAAACCTATGTCACTTAAAAAGTTCGTTAATTCTTCCAATATTTCTTAGTGCATTGCACCTGTTGAGGGTATACCATTTATGAGAGCTACTTAATACGATTCCCAACAAGTAAACTACACCCACACACCTTCCACAGAACAAAATCACAAGAACAAGATGCACCTTTTTTATCAATGGCCGACAAAACAAAGCTTCCGCTACGCAAGTGGCCTGGGGGGAGAACAAATTTATTTATTATTAATAAAAATGGTTTAAATTAAATGCATTATATACTTCCGATATTTAAAACAATTACAGGTTGACAGTAACGCAATGTTGATTAACTATTAATATATAAATATTTTTTTTTATAAGAAACGCTGTGTTAGCATTAATCCTATCCATATATTTATTGTTAATCTGTAAATGCTAATTTACTTTATACAAACACGCTATTGTTAATAATACCCAAGTTGATTTATTTATTAATATTATTCGTGAAAACAGTCGTTGGTTAATTATAAATCTCAGATTTTTCTCGGTGTACTTGAACACTTGAACAAGCTAATTAAATCTCATAGCAATTCTGCAGGTACACAGCGTAATCTAATTACTAATTTAGGGCAGCTCAAACATTTAGAAACAATAATTAAAGCAAAAAATATAGTTAGGGGGGCAGGATTAAAAAAAAATAATAGGGGTAGCAGAGTACAATGGCAAGCATTAAATAGTGTTTTTCAATCACGTATTTGTACAGGGATTATTATAAAGTTAATAGTTATTTACGATATAAGTGGGATAAGAGCTTTATTAACGTACGCATGCGAAATTTGCCCAACGAGTGCACGCATGCGTAGCACGAGTTGGGCAATCGCAAAAGTACGTTAATAAAGCGTTATCACACGTATATTGTACAAATTTTTATCTACGCCTATAAATGAAAAAATAAACGGTAATAATTTTTGTCTAAGACTTAATTTAGGGTTAATTTGACATTTTGACATTTTGACCTTTTTATTTGATTGGTTAAAAGCAGAGAAAAACGCGTGCGTTAATGAACTTCTTATCTCACTCAAAATGAGTGGGATAAGAAGTTCTTATCTCACTGGCGTAGATAAAATATATTAATAATAAGCAATTTTTAAATGATACATTTTTTCTTTTTTAAATCAAGGTTAGCATTAAACAACATAAAATTAATTGGTTTAAACTCTTCTGATTACAAAAGATATCTTTTGGACAACGACACACACGACACTCTACCTTGGGGGCATTAAAGCATTATAAATAACTAATAGTATATTAAAAAACTAATGTCATAAGACGTCATTTTGTCGCACGCGGAAAATTTATAAAACGAGCGACGAAGGAGCGAGTTTTATAATGGACAAGTGCGACAAAAGGTCTTATGACATGAGTTCTTTATGCTATTTTATCTATTTTTCAAACATTTCATAAAACAAATTAATTGTATACCTTATATTTAATTTGGTCGAATTTTACTTTACATAGTTGGTATCCCTATTGAAAATGCCATATAGAACCATATAAAAAACACGTATCTGGATTCTATATGGTTTCTATCTGGTTCAATATAGGTATTTGAAACAGGCATTTCACTATAGAACCAGATAGAAGATTACATTATAGAACTAGATAAAAACACTCTAAAACACTATAGAACCAGATAGGGAAACCTATCTGGAAATACATATAGAACAGAAACCAGATAAATCCATATACATCCATATACATGTCTTTATAAAGACATGTATATGGTTGTATATGGATTTATCTGGTTTCTGTTCTATATGTATTTCCAGATAGGTTTCCCTATATGGTTGAATATAAAAAATTTTAAAATGGAAATCCATATTCAACCATATAGAATCCGTAATGTTAACCAGGACTTTCCATATAGGACCCATAAAACCATATAGAACCAGATACGTTTCCTTATCGGATTCAATATGGGTTCTATATGGCATTTTCAATAGGGATCTCAGTTTG